AATAAACTAGCGATTGGTAAGACTGGTAAATAATATATCCCCCGATGCTCTTCGATTTTTTTGTTATTTCAAGGTGAGAAATGGATAGTTGAAATTCCATCGATTTCAAGGCGACTGTTCCACCGCGATAACTCTACGCACTGTTGTAGTTTCGCGAGGTAAAAAAAATATATAATAAATAGTACTTGTTCATTATTTGGTTTTACAGCTCGCAAACTATGGGACATGATCCCGGTGAATTGCTATAAATAAATGATTGTGTTGAATGACGGACGTCGGGACCGTTTGGAGAAACCAACAGGGATCGATATTCCAAACAAATTATTGGGACACGGTCGATGGACCTTTCAAACAAATGAAATTATTAACGAAAGACGAGATTTTTCTAGGTATTTACGAACAAATATATACCAAATATATGCAAAATTGGCAAATACACAAAGAAGTGTAATATTAGGTTTTATTTTAGCCTTTATTTAATATTTTCTTTCACTCAGTCCATGCGTGGGAGTTCTATTTAGCTTCATGGTTCTTCGACTCGTCTTCTCCTTGGGGGAAAGCAACAATAATTCGAATTTACGACATCAGTGGACCAAAGCCGTCAACACCAGGAAATATTGGGATGGACCTTCTCCTTATAACGTTATCTGCAGTGCCAATTTTACGTCTGAATCATTTATCAGTACAATTTCATTTGTTTCGATCTTGCAGTTGTAGGTATTTGTCCTACCGGAAATAGAACACGCGATCTATTGGACGCACAAAAATTTACATTTTAGAGTGCAAATTTTCTAACATTACTGATACATTGTTTAGATGGAGTTTAATAAAAATAACGTTAAGATTTTCGGTCACGATGTTCAAACTCTGTGCCTGTCCCTGAACCGGGTGCCTGAATCGTCATGGTCATTTTGAGGAGGTACACGGTCACCCACATTTTCTCTCCGGTTCACCCCTGTATGGGCCACTTTGTCAATGACACTCTAAAACAAAATCGTGACATCTCTCGTTGTCATCATATTTCTCGATCTCACAACTCTCGTCAGACGATGATAAGATAGATTCCGTGTCGCTTTCCGAGCACTGCATGCGTATAGCGGCCATTGTGAAACGATGACAAGTCCCCCCCCCCCCCCCCGTGACATCACAAATCACCCTTGTATGCTAATTAGGTTCTCTTGCTGAAGCCTCGTTCTGAGTCGCCCAAGAAATTGGACGTGGATGTTTCCTTATCCAGAACATTATTATTGATCGTTTATTTATGTACATTTTTCACTTGATTTTTTTTCATGTTGTTTATAAATAAATTTTGCACACAAAAAAAGTCAATTGTCCCAATTCAGTTACACTTTAAGTAGTATGACCATTTGATATGAGTGAAGGATTTTAATTTGAAATGAGAATTCATATAGGATGTCAAATGTATTAATTCCCACAACGTATATTGGGTGTGAATTCTTAATTTTCACTGTATCTGTAACTTGCACACATATTCACACTTGTTTGTTACTATAGTTACAAATCATATTACTGATACAAGTCAACCCATCGTCCGAATCGCTTGGTTTGTTGGTGCCGACTCCACCAACCCGTGCAGGATCAGCCTGGGTAAAAGAGTATTTTATGTTGAACAAATGGCTAAATTTGATTGGATGTGTCTGTTTGAAAGGCGCCTTATAACGCTGTGTAAAATTAGCTGAACAGTGCACCATTTAAAAAATGGTTTTACCTAACCAGTTCTAATAAATCAGTCAGCAATTTAGCTGGCAATGTTGTCAAAAGACTCAATCCGTCCCAGTAACATTGGGTCTCAAAATATATTCCAGATTTATTTTATAAAAGCATAATTTTTCTTCTGCTTAGATTCTGTATACTGTACATTTACATTAAGCATTCAGTATATATTTAATGAATCAAAATATTTTCTATGGCAATGTGCAATGGGGATAATTTTAATATGGTAAGTCTTCCAATAAACACAAATATGCATCACTGTGCCTTTGTAATTAGCAACTCATTGAACGGCAAAGTCAACTACTTTAACATTTCACAAAATTAGAGATGACGTCAAAAGATCGATGTCTGATAAACTTATTTGCTTTAGTTTGGGGTGACCTCAAAAAGTTTCCATCCTACAAAAACGCTTTTATTTTTTAATGAAGTCAAAAAATCTTGGAGTATTTGTAGTTCGTTTTTTTCTTTTATCCAATCATGGACACAAATAACAGAAAATGAAAAAACACAAATCTGAGATGAGAAAATGGTTTGGTCAGTGTAAATATGTGTCAAATGAGGTCAATTCCAGGGCATGGACCTTAGAGCACCCACGCGACAACAACTGCTATGCCATACTACTGTCAGATTATCAATTTGTATTTAATAGTGAATGTAGTCTGGCGTCATTATCAATATTTATCAATTAAGTTTGAGTGGGGGTGGGGGAAAAAACTAAAGGAATTAAGTTTTTTTATCCTACATTGAACTTTTTGATGTTGTCCCTAAAGCCACCGAATTATCAATTCTGTCCTTAATTTACAATAAGCTTATAAAAACAGTATTCATAAGGTAACATTATGCCGTTCACGTGTTAATGACATACAATGTATTAAGAATTCTTCAACTATATTGGTGTGAATTACATTTTTTAGTTGACTAAAGTTTATAATGAATCTGTAATCTATTTCACCATGACATGTCTTCAACTTAAATTTGATTTTATACCAATATAAATATGATATATGGAATAAACTTTGCTGTGATGAACAGGTTGTGTTATTTATTGGACATGCATTGACAAATTTTTTTCAAACTTAGTACAATAAATGTCATACTTGTGCTTGTCCATTTATGGTCAACTAGCGGTCATTTTGGACATAAAATTATGCCTGAATATTTGAATACGCCCGAGTCTTCGAATTATAATAACAGAGTTGTTGGAAGTGCTCGTTGATGAAACAAGATTACCGGTGACCAGATTCAAGATAGACGCTAGATAGATGGTCATTTTTTGTCCTAGTATTGTCATGGCCATTAACAAAAGAGTTGGAATATAATATTTGCATGACTATAGACGTTTGTAAATTCCAGAAGTAATTAGTTTTAAAACAGAAATATTAACATGATCTGAGAATAAACTACACTTAACTTTACGATAATGCTATGGGCAACATAAAATCAACAGATTTGATTGGTCCAGATTCAGCTGCACACACTTCTATGCTGAGAGTAATGAAGGGTGTGAATTATTGAACAGTTATGATTTGCCGATAAAGGTGTAGCTCTGATGGGTTACAAACCATCTACCATGAAAGTTAGAAGCAGCATTTTAGTACTGTTCAAAAGTGTGAAATGAAAATGGTCACAGGTCCAACTGAAATTACTCCGTAGTTGACCCTTTTTAAATCGCAACTTGAAACAAAATTAATGCATTTCAATGTGTGTGAGATGATGTATAATGTAGTTGTAAAGTTTGATTGCAATCACTTCAGGCATGGCAGATTGTCTTAATAACAGCATTCATGAAAACAAAACTGCAACCCGTCAACTATTTTGAATTAACCCAAGGCATGTCCAAGATACAGGTGGACGAACAGAAGGCGACTAAACTGGGACTAAAAAGTATCAAAATAAGTTGTATTTTAATGATTCAGTATACAACACATGTATTTGTGCTTCTATTGGAGATGCATTCAAATAAGATGTGTTTATGTGGCATATATTCTTTATCATCATGATGTACATGCAAATATCAGTCAAAATTATATTTGTGTAGCTGGACAAACCATTTTCTTTTCAAATTATGAAACAATGACAATATAAGCAAACCTTTATTATAACTAATAAATGTATCCAAAAATATTGAACATTTGCACCTTGGTACATGAATTATTGTAAATATTTGAAAGCTAGCAGCACAAAGAATTTCAGTTGGTAATACCAATATGTATGCTACATATCAGTTGTAGTTTTACTTGGCATCGCCTACTACCGTGAATTTAATACCATGATTATTGAGTCTCTCTATTATTTTAGTATCCATGAACATCGTTCCAGGTGTAAACACGCCGCCACTGTAAATATAAACAATAAGAAATGTTGTATAATCCTCCAGGCTTGAGCTAATCAAATACTTTGATATTTTAAAACCACTTTGTGCTTCTCGGCCAATCAGAATTTTCCTATCTACACTTTGTTCTCACAAAGGTATAGGAATTTTATACAGCTCATATGACATGAAAGATGAAACACTATTTAAGTTTTAGCATGCTAAGAAACCATAAGCTGAGGTCTTTACCAGTTTGATCCTGAATATACATAAGTTGATCATTATGCAGATCTTCTGAAAGTTCATCTTTCATGGCATATTTCATTTGAAAATAGGGGCATGGTTCCTTTTTCAATTACAAATTTAGTGATGAATTGTTGACAGGTCTCAGAATTTTCCAAAAAATACATTTTATCTCGCTTGGATCAGATCTCGTATAGGATGAAAAATTAAGGCATGTCGCAAAATTTATTTTCATGGCATTCCAACATATGAATTTAACTTATTATATTTTATTTACTTTTTTAAATTCCTCATCCTAACTTTTATTTGTATTGATTAATATTTCTATTGCTATATTCCGTACTTCCCCGATCATAAGCCCAGGGGCCTGAACATGTAAAATCAGGAAAATTAGGGGGTGTATTTCTAAAAATATATTATTCTATACTTGAAGTTGTATTATCTGTTTTATAACATATGTAGTAAAGTAGGACCCTGGTATATTGTTTAGCTTTTGAATCGAATGAAATATTTGAAACTTACCACTGTGGCAAAGACTGAGGCTCTTTCAAGACAGTTACCGCACACTGTACCATGGCAATTGGTGTTGTAATGTAACCAGGTTCTGGAGTAAAAATATCATAAACTATTTAAAACAGAGCAGGTCTGGTGACAAAAAGTGAACACAGTCTAAGTGACACGACTTATTAATGATGGTTAACCAATCATAGATATAACAAGTTAAATTTTAGAGTGATAGTATAAATATTATAATTATCTAGAAATGCTGACCAGGTCCAGTAACCTTGGTAACCATTTTCATATCATTTTGATCTTTATTTGAACTGTCTTTGTTAAATCCTTGTCCAAAGAAGGTCATTGAAAATGAAGATCCTTTCATTTGTTCTCTGCTTGGTCCCTCATGACTGCACATCCCAGCTGAAAACAGTCTTGGATACTATAGTGTAAATGTAAAAATGTAATTAACATTGATATATATATTCAATGATGGCAAGGTGTCCACTGGCCAATATTTCTTCAGTATCAGAAGCAAACCTGTGGTTCATGACGAATACTGCATTAAATTGTAACATTGTATTTAAAAAAAAATGTGCAGTACAGTAAATTGAAATTCAATTATTTTAAATCTAGGAAGTTACAGTGAATTTCTTGTTCCTGTAAATTTCATTACATTATGAATCCTTGCAGCAGAATTTAATGGTTTTGAGAACTTCCAAAGTTAAAAATGTTTCTGTGAAATTTTAAACACTTATAATGCTGATGCATGTTGACAACCTGTCATTTATTAAACTAATGTGTATGAACAATAACATATTGATCATTTTAATACAGTGATTATACTTACCTTTGCAAGAAGATACATGCCAAGACGAAACTTTGTCATAATAATAAATATCAGTCCAAACAACATCAAACCAATCAAAGCAAAGATATTAGGTAATGCTAAGTAGGCACCGTACTGAATCTGTAATGTTCATATCAAGATGAACTATTTAGTAGGGGGCATTTTAATAATACATGTGTACAATTTGTTTTACTGTGTTTTCGACTTTTATTTGCATCGCCGGTTTGATCAGAACATTTGTTGCTGTAAAGATAATTATTAATGAGGGTTTTCAGAGTACAACCTCCTCAACAATCTGTTGGCTTGAAAGAATGTTGCTGGATTCTAAGACAGTACCTGAATGATAAACTATGATAAACATCTTATCAAATGTTGTTGGATTCTAAGACAGTACCTGAATGATAAACTATGATAAACATCTTATCAAATGTTGTTGGATACTAAGACAGTACCTGAATGATAAACTATGATAAACATCTTATCAAATGTTGTTGGATTCTAAGACAGTACCTGAATGATAAACTATGATAAACATCTTATCAAATGTTGTTGGATTCTAAGACAGTACCTGAATGAAAAACTATGATAAACATCTTATCAAATGTTGTTGGATTCTAAGACAGTACCTGAATGATAAACTATGATAAACATCTTATCAAATGTTGTTGGATTCTAAGACAGTACCTGAATGATAAACTATGATAAACATCTTATCAAATGTTGTTGGATTCTAAGACAGTGCCTGAATGATAAACATCTTATCAAATGTTGTTGGCCATGTTTCAGTATTGCAGATCTTATCCTCAGCTGAGGCAAGGTTATTTTCAAGAGCATTACCTTAATTGCATATTGCAGGTAGCATTATTTTCTTCATGGAGCAGATGTTGGATCCTGGGAGCTACTACTTTTGAGGAGATTTTTAAAATAACTGAACTATTCATTTGGTTTGATATTGCTATCAGAAATATGAGGAATCTCATTACTAATATCTCGTAAGATTTAACAAAATTTTGATGTGTCTGACTGTTTTTGTTTTCTTTTAAGCTTAGTTATTTTTTTTGGTTTTGAAAAAGTAGTTATGAGGATAAAGAGGGTACTTCATCCTCTAAAACATAAAAACATGTTCCCTACTCTACTTTATGTGGCACACTCCACTAGTATGTAAAATTGCAAAAGTAAAAATGTTTTTAAACTGATGCACACAATGGCATAAAGCAATATCTGTGGTAAAACATGCAGATACTGCATACTTCAACAAGTTGCTGTCAATGACATAGTCCCTGTTTGAATTATAGACATGAGATTTATATATATGACCTAATGTGTGATGTATTTGTGAAGTTTAAACATGATTGGTTGTATTAAACAAGATGATCGCCTGTCAGTCATTTTGGATTTGATGGTGATAAAAATGCATGTTCATGATATGATGTCTGATGTATGTTTGAACTTTGATTGGTTCAGGCATGTCAGATATATCAATCCATAACTGTATTTTTTAAAACAAAATGGCTGTCAGTCAGAGCTCATTCTACAAAATAAAATTACGTGCATCAAGGTCCCTTTTAATAATTGAAAATAATTTATAATATGAAATTAGCTACTTTCATGCAACAACAAGGCCCTAAAACTACTCATGTCTGCATGTTAACCCAAGGTACATATTATGTACTTAATTTGAAACAGCCTGAAATGAGATAACCAATATGCAAATTAGCTACTTAATATGCACGAACATAGCCCCAAAACTAAACATGTCTGTGCATTATCCCAAAGTACTTTGGCATCAAATTTGATCAAAATCCGCTTTAAAGTTTTTGTGATTTTGCAAACAAAGGTTGACATGAGATAATATGCTTCGCACACACAGGAGCTAACAACATTTTTCTCTGGGTCTAATGTACAAGATCTGTATTGTCACTTACTGGGCGTTTGTTTCTTTTTTCATGTTGATATCGCTGGGTTCTTCGAACTACGGCTGCATCAGCTCCAAGAAATGGTATGCACCATTTATTCATATCAGAACTATGAAATACTGCACCCCTAAAATATACAATGGAATGCACCATTTATTCATATCAGAACTATGAAATACTGCACCCCTAAAATATACAATGGTATGCACCATTTATTCATATCAGAACTATGAAATACTGCACCCCTAAAATATACAATGGAATGCACCATTTATCCATATCAGAACTATGAAATACTGCACCCCTAAAATATACAATGGTATGCACCATTTATTCATATCAGAACTATGAAATACTGCACCCCTAAAATATACAATGGTATGCACCATTTATTCATATCAGAACTATGAAATACTGCACCCCTAAAATATACAATGGAATGCACCATTTATCCATATCAGAACTATGAAATACTGCACCCCTAAAATATACAATGGTATGCACCATTTATTCATATCAGAACTATGAAATACTGCACCCCTAAAATATACAATGGTATGCACCATTTATTCATATCAGAACTATGAAATACTGCACCCCTAAAATATACAATGGTATGCACCATTTATTCATATCAGAACTATGAAATACTGCACCCCTAAAATATACAATGGTATGCACCATTTATTCATATCAGAACTATGAAATACTGCACCCCTAAAATATACAATGGTATGCACCATTTATTCATATCAGAACTATGAAATACTGCACCCCTAAAATATACAATGGTATGCACCATTTATTCATATCAGAACTATGAAATACTGCACCCCTAAAATATACAAGACATGAAATGTCACAGTCCCCGTTATTTGATTATAAAGTAGTACAAGGAACATCTGCAAACAGGTGAATGAATATGTACTCTATGTGGGTACAACTCATCATAAAGTGATTTCCCATAATCTAGTTTTGTACTGACAACTAAAAACTTCCACTGACCCATGTTCAGAATCTCAGAGTACACAAGTGCAACAAAACTATTTGTCATACATGTATACTTGCTCAAGAAACTGCATTCATAAATCTGAGTGAACCTTGATGTACATGACTTCTTTGTTAATCAGTCTTAGTATATTACCAGGACCTGGGTTTGTTTCAACATCACCACTGGGCATCAAATC